CTAGAGTGTGCTCTCATGTGTGCTCTCATCAGGCAAAAAGGAAGAAATGATCAAATCTAATTCTCAACATTAATGAAAATGTTTCCTCCTACTGATCAATTTCAGACATCATTCCTCCATTTAAAATAAATAAAACTTGGTGGATGTACTGCAAAAATAATTTTCTTAATTAATATTATTGTCTTGTTATCCAATAAAAATACCCCAAAAATGCCCCATTATCAAATTCAGTTCAGTGAATTCTCCGTTCGGTGTAATAGGTTTCGGAACGTGGATTATAATGTAGGGCCTAGCCCTTTTTCTGGCGTCACGTGTGTTACCCCAGAGCAGCAGTGAGGGAGTTGATAACCGCAGTTTTCCACGTGTACTGAATACTCATCACTCATATGATATGTTTCTGGCATTCGACGTCATAGTGTGGAACAGCCTATCTCCATATTTATGTAACAGGGATGTGAAGTAATATACACACCATGTAAATCAACAGCCAACATTTTTAGGGGTTAATTATTAGTAGCACTTGCCAAATCAAACATCACAATTACTATTGCTCATACTTAAGATTAGGGATTTAAACAAACCCTTAATCCAAAGCATTAAATTTAAGGTGCATAACTTGCCCTGCCTCATGTCTGCTACAGGCATGAATCATACTTCAAATTGTGCAGCTAACTGAAAACTGTGCTATTATTTTTCTAAGTAATTGGAGATTTTTGGTAAAATGGGGAAATCCCCAATATTTATCTATATATATACTGTATATGTAAAATCATATAATTTCATATATGGGTCTATAAATCTAAAACTAGCTTTTGAGAAAATCTCTCAATTTGAAAATATACAAAAATGGACAATTATATATTCATGACATATTTTTTTTAGATATCTATATGTACATGTTTTGTTATATATATATATATATATTTTTTTATTTTTTTTATTTTATTTTTTTTACATGTTTTAGTTACATATCTTCATATATTTTTGGTCTGTTTTTAAATATTTTTTATATATATAAATAAATATTTAAAGGTTTAAATTAAATTTTATTATATTTTAAATTTTGCAAAACATTTTACATGTTGCGTATATGTAGCATTTATTTAAAATATATTTTGGCCAAAAAAATATATATATTTTTTGTCCGTATGGGACTATTGATGTCTATTCTAATGCATTTAACAACATGTTCCTCATACAGAAAATGAGCCTGGGACGTGTATATAGGCTCTGTTTGTTATGTCAGATGTACCTGATGTGAGATGAGCGTGATGAAGGGTGACCTCAGGAGATACCACTGTATGTTTGACGCCACATGTAGATTGATGATTTATTATGCGCAATGACAGGAAACCTGAAGTTGTTCATATAAACGTGTGAAGGCTAGTTTCAGTCAAAACACCCCGTTTTGATCTCCTCATCTGCATTGCGACGTGGCTTAAGAAAATGGCTACCTTTACTCAGTATCACTCTCTCCCCTTCTCTCCTTTTCTCTCTCCCACTCACTTTCCAACTCCAGTGCATTTGGAGCCAGTAGCAAACATTGAATCTTAGCAGGCAGAGAGAGATATAGAGGGAGTGCAGAGCTCTGTGGTACCCCTGCCTGCCTCTGCAACCCCCCTCCTCAGAAACGCTTTATTCCCATCAGCTGCATTCCTCTTATCACTCCCTTCCAGATGCACGTCGGGCAAGAGGCTCCATAATTAGGAAGCGAGATCTCGGTCTCCGATCACTTTGGTACGTTATCAGCGCTGACACCAATCTCCTTGAGTGACATTCTATCCAAACGGTTATATAAACCACAGTCTAGGATCTGTGTGTGAAAAGTCAATGCAGCAAGAAGATGAAGTGGGGGAAAAACGAGTGTTTAGAGCTCTTAAAGGCTCGGGGCAACTGCTTTCCTACAGTTCATTCCTTTATTGTTTCTTTTTTTCTTAATTAAACACAGAGCAGCTTCTGTGGAAAAGAAGGGAGAGCAGAGATAAAAGGCTTGTGAATAATGTTTCTGGCAAAGATTTCTTGGTGAGGCTGTAAAAATCCTAGTCTGCCTGGAAGGGAAGAGTCAAAATAGCACGTATGCTGAAACAGAAGAACATAAGAGAGTATTTGGATAAAATTGATTTGCAGAATGTCTTCTGGGTAGCAACAAACAACAATCCTCTCTATGCACTGCATCTTATTTCCCTAAATCTTTTTTTTATTGCAAATTCTTTCTTTCTTTCTTTTTTTCTTATGATTCTTTGAAAACAATTACAAATAAAATCCCAATTTTAAGAAATAAAGTTGCATTTTTAGATAATTAATGTCACATTGTAATATATTGGGTCAACATTAAAACAGCATAATTTTTTTTGGAAATAAAGTCACATTTTTCTTCATATTAAACATTGCTTTGAGATATACTGATTAACATTACAAGAGAGTTGCAATTTTTCTTTAGATGTAATGTCACATTTAAGAGAAATAAAGTCACAGTTTTGAGGTATTAAATCACATTTTGAGATGTTCGGTCACAATTACAGTTGCACTTAGTAGAAATAATATTGCCATTTCAAACAAAAGTCACAATTATTATAACCATAGTAAAAATAAAATAAATAAATTACAATTGTATTTATTTTTATTAGTTTTAGAAACTGACCATTAAGCTCCATATAATAGAAACTAATGAACAGAAATACATACATATATAAATATATTGCACACACACACACATATATATATATATATATATATATGTGTGTGTGTGTGTGTGTGTGTGTGTGTGTGTGTCCATTGATCGTTAAGCTTTATATAACAGATCAAATAAGCTCATATAATATATGCTCTGTACGCAAGTGCCTGTTATCAAGGATCTAACTACATTTTCAAGATTTGGGGTACCAGAAGTAATAATTTAAGAAAAAGCATCTCTGTCGACCACTAATGTGAATATTTGAGGCACCGCGTCCTGCTCAATGTCATTGGTGATTACAGCTCTGCCTGTTGTTCATTGAACCTCACAGATGTTTTATCGCAGAGTAATGACTCCAGTGCTTGCATGATCCAGTTAGACTATTCCTGAGGCTTTACTGAACTTGGGCACTCATATGTTCCCTGATATTTCACTCTTCATAATATAGCCCAAGTATCACTCTCATGCAGGGGGTTAATGTCTTTTACAGTCTTGTTTTGAACAGAAAATGGCAGCTATTTTTAATTAGTGAAAACAATACAACCTTATCTTGATTGTGCAGCAAGAGATTGTGTTTTTATTAATTCATTTATATGTTTATTTATTTCCAGATTGTTCTCAAACAAGTTTAAAGCGACACTGATGTCATTGTGTGGAAAACAGAGGGAAGGGCCTTCTTGGGTTGGTTATTAAAGAATCGTTTTTGTCTTAAGTGTGGTTGGGCGAGGGCGTTCACAAGCTTTTCGGTGTAGTCCGAGATGTGCAATGCGCTGATTGGGGCAAAATCCTCACAGTTCCTAGACAAACTGCAAGACCGGTGATGTAAGAGAGACACCAACTGGCCCACAGCGTTTACTCCACCCTAGTGGAGTAATGCACTCTCAAGATGCTTTGTATAAAACTATCTGCTTATTGTAATAAATGTAAATGCAATGAAAATGAAAACGTCTCTATTTTTATTTTATTTTTTGCATTAATCATTTGTTTCTATATGTTGCACTAGTGGATGTTTACAGATGTAAAAGTCCAGTAACACTAATGTCTGTTTTCTCTAACAGTGGTTTTGTATGTTGTTTGTAAATTAGTCAATCAATATCATTTTGTATTAGTTGTTGGTTAAACAAGACAACACGATAAAAACATGTGCTTGCTAGCTGTTCGACTGCTGCCGTTTTGTGATTTTTTTTTTTTTTTACATTTTGCTATAAATAAATAAAAATACAAAAAGTTTTAATAATGGCAGGTTACATTTTTGTGACAACTTACCCCATATAATTTTTGTATCCCAGACAGGGTTTTTATAGTTAACTAAAACTAAAACTTAAACAATAATAAAAAAGCTACTTGAAGATTAACTTGATGCGATAAAAAAATAAAATAAATTTAACCTAAAAAAAAAAAAATTACTAAAACTTACTGAAACAAAAACCGAAAATATTGAAAAACACTATTTCAAAATATTAATAAAAAAAACTATTAAGGGTAATGATTCTAAAAAGGTTAAATGACGCTAAAATAAAACTAATCCCAGATTTCAATGGATGTAAACACAAAATTGACTTTCAAAAATGAACCTACCCTGAGAAATATTCACTTGAGTAAAACGTGTGACAACTAGACCCAGTCTCCCCTATATGATAATACACTTCTTTTATATTATATTAATTTTAGGCTTTAGTAATGCACATTATAATTATTAACTATAATTTGTTTTCAAATTATAGTAATATTTACATTTATATAAATCTTTATTTTAATCACGTGTTAAAAATTCAAATTAATATAACAGCTATTGACTAATCGAATAGCTATTAGGCCTAATATTGTATAAAACACAGTACAAAAATCTAAAAAAACGTGTTTTTCATCCATTCACTTGAACTGAGCTCATGCATGGAGAAGTAGCTAGGAATATTTATAAAAGTATATTTGAAAAGAGGAAGCGCATATAGCTCGGGATATGGATGCAATCGTGGATGTGTTAATCTTATCGCGTTGCTTCCTCCTGCTTTTGTTTACCCGAGTTAAAAGCCGAGCACAAACATATTATCTAAGCTTGTTCACATTTTATAATTGATCTGATATCATTTGCAGCTGCGAGCATCAGACAAATATTCGAGTTATGCCGGGCCAGACAGGTGAAACACACAGAGGTTACCAGAGTTAATCTCTACTAGCGGCAGAAACTCGCAGAGGGCCACGCCTTTGCTATACAAACCACGCCCAATATCTAATCTATGCGTTCTGATTGGTGGGCGCGACTAACGGGGCGTTGATTTCCGGTATGAGGAGGCTGGAATTTCAGATTTCTCGCTTGTGGGTTTCGGGGTAGCGGTGATGCGAGTCGCCCTGATCACCGGCTCTTTTCCATCTTTCCGTCTTCATTCATTTGATTGTATGTGTTTACCCATAGATAAGTATGACTGAGAGCGCGGGGAATAAAAATGAGGATTGTCATGCAGCGAATGGTGTGAAACCAGGAAGAAATGGCATGGTGAAGAACCATCATCATCACCATCATCAGAAGCAGGAGAAGGTGAGGCCACATCATGCTTTGAGATCTTTGAATCATGCATGGCTGATATTTCAAATCAGCTTGTGCAATTTGTTGTACGATGAAAATGATGATGCATGGCAACACAGCAGCTGTTCTCAATACTGTGCCAGGATTGTGCTCAGTTAGTGCATGACGTGCAGTTTCACTGTTTATGGCATGCTCACATGTGGAAAAGTAAAGTTTGACAGCCAGATAAGATGTAGACTTTCACCTGATAATATTGTTTTTAGAGCCTTGGCCATCGCAGCATCAAACATATGATGATGTGGCTAATGTGAAATTTCCATAAGTGAAAACTCGTCTGGATAAACTGTGCTTGTTGAACCAGAAAGTGAATGTGCAACCTCATGCTGCTTATGCGTTAATGTAAGTCAAATGCAATGAAAATGGCAAGTGACGATATAGATCTATATAGTTATATTCTAAGTTTATATTTATTGTTCTGTATAAAACACTGCAGTAGTTTTAGTAATAAACATTATCATTTATAATTATAATCTGTATGTTGTTTATGTGAATATTTTCATTTATATTACTAAAAATATTAATAACTGGAAATGTATATTAGTATATTTTATTTAAAGTTATAGAAAATAGATCTATAGATTGATCAAAAAAGCCATATATAGGTAGCCTAATAAAATTCTACTTTTGATTTGTCTCTGTATTAAATATACTATGGATTTAAGTAACGCATTATAATTTGTCATTTTAAACTGTATTTAATTTTTAATAATATTTAAATATTCATATGTAAATATTATTAATATTAACATCTATATTTGATTTAATTCAAGTCTGTAGATAATAAATCTATCAATGGATCTAATAGCTAAATGCACTGAGAAAGGCAAGTCAAGATCTTGATCTCATACCAGTGTCTTGTTGTGCGGGTGATTGTAAGCAACTCATGAATCAAGTTAAAGCTCTAGGAATTTCTGCCATGTGCCTCCTGTACTGTCAGTGTTTTGAGTGGGAGATCGGTCAGCTTCATCTATTCCAAGATGTTCTATGCTTTGTGATGGTCACAGTTCCTTTGTTTATGCAACTAAACTGTCTTGTAAAATCCTATCAGCTCTTTTGACTTCTTCTGATTGACTTTCCATTGTAATGTTCAGCAACAGCTTGCAAAGGTATATCACACACATCTATGTTTTGCAAGTGTGTTATCGTGCATTTTTCAAAAGACTTTTTCCTGGAAGGCACTTTCAGCCTTGCAACTGAATGCAAAGTTGTGCTGTTGTCCTGGAGCTGGTGGCAGCTCACGTGGATGTCACTGTTGCTAGACTCCGTGGTATTTGTTAGTGGAGCATGACTAGTCACATGTGCCTGCAAATCACAGGGTTTTGAATGAACTACTTCATCTGTTTGGGCCAGAACTTGTGTGTGATCCATGGTCACCATGAGTAACAGAGTTTTTGACAATGAGAGGCCAAACTTCGACTCTAAGTTAATCTGACTTTTGCAAAGTATCTGTGAATAAAGCTTTCAAAAGCTTGCCATGGTTTCTGTACTAAACTGTAAAATTAACCAAAAGGAATCTGTTGTTTCTGCAAATGTTTCCATTGCACAGGCGTTTTACACATCTTGTAATCAGTAACCACAGTGTGATGGTACCATGACTACAGTGTTTTAATGGGTTTTGCTTTACAGGTTTACCATGCTGCATGCAATGGAGAGCTTTACAGCAGGCCGTTCATCGAGTCCTTTGAGGAAACTCCCATGCTAGTTGCCGTGCTCACGTACATGGGCTACGGCATTCTCACGATCTTTGGATATCTGCGGGATTTCATGAGGGAGTGGAAAATAGAAAAATGCCACATAGCCAGAGAAAGGGAGGAGCAGAAGGTAAACACTGTCACGTGTGCATGGCGGAAAAAAGCAAATATATACACTACCGTTCAAAGGTTTTTTTTTTGTTGTTTTTTTTTGGAAAGGCATTAATACTTTTATTCAGCAGGAAAGAAATATATTTTAAACTATATTAAAACAGAAAAAAAACTTAAATTGTAATAATATTTTACAATTTTACTTTAGTGTGTTTTTGTGTATTAAATAAATGCAGCCTTGGTTAGCATAAGAGACTTCTTTCAAACACAGAAAAATCTTACTGACCCCAAACCTTTGAATGGTACTAGTGTACCAGATTTAATGTAAAGATGGAAACTTTTTATTATCAATAAAGTGGTTTATTGTCAAATTTCCTTGCAGTTTCATGTTATAAGGAACATTTTTAAAGATTAAATGACAAAAATAAGAAATCATTTAAGCCGTTTTTAAATTATGAAAACTCGTATGCCTGAAAAGATGGTGTAATTTCCATGATTTTTCTGTGACTCCTCCAAAAATGAAGCTGTGTAAAGAAAGCATCATAGTAAGTTTGAGAGGAAGAGGTTATTTTGTCAGAGGAAGGATATTGTGCAGTTTACCGTTATTGTAAAGTACTTTAGGGCACTGAAAGGTTGCGCTTTGTTTTGCTATGCACCTTTTATGGGTGTTGTTCTTCCTAAAATATTGGATCCAAGACAACTTAGTCACCCAAATGTAAGGAGCTGTTTTCAGGTAATGAACAAAAAACATCAAGTATGTGAATCTTTCTTTTTTTTTTTTTTTTTTTTGTCCAGGACTTTGTTCCACTTTATCAAGATTTTGAGAATTTCTACACAAGGAATTTATACATGAGGATTCGGGACAGCTGGAACAGGCCCATTTGCAGTGTTCCTGGGGCCACGTTTGACCTCGTTGAGCGCAGTTCCAATGATTACAACTGGACCTTTGAGTAAGTAGGCCATCTTGGACCTGAACAGGAAAACAACACCACGTCTTTGACTGTTTTATCTCCCAAGATGAGAGCTGCATTAATCTAATGATTATAATATCAAGGTCACTTTCAAGACAATGTACAATAAGCTTTCAAAAGTAAGGCTTGATTATAACCTGATGTGAAACATGAGGTGACTGAGGTTGCATGAGACTTAAAATCCAGTCTAGGGTCGTCAAGGGTTAGTTTTGGCTCAAAAGAAATCTCACGCAAGTGTATTGTGCTCTTTCAGGTACCCTGGGCGAGTGGTGAAGGATGTGATAAACCTTGGCTCGTATAATTATCTGGGCTTTGCAGAGAACACAGGCGCCTGTGCCACAGCTGCTGGAGAGGTGACCGTGAAATTTGGGGTGGGCATGGCCAGCACCAGACAGGAAATGGGTGAGTGCTTATTGGTTACTGTTGCTTTTTGGGAAATATTGGGACATAAGTAGGGATGTAACGGTATGAAAATTTCATATCACGATTATAGTGACCAAAGTTATCACGATTATCAATATTATCACGGTTTTGTTAAATTTAGATGAAAATGTTCAAAAAGAACTGATACACACACTGAAAACATTTCAATAAGTTTTATATTTGAAAATCAACAAACCACAAATACAATTAGCAGCTATATGCACTTTTTTTAGCATAAACATTAAATTAACATTAACATGAAGCCCTAATAATAATAATAATAATAATATAATCAAATACGGTTTTGATGATAATTAAATTTTAAACGATAATACTAACCGTCAGGGCATTTTATCGTGATTTATCATGAAACCGGTAATCGTTCCATCCCTAGACATAAGGCACATTTAAGCATTAAACATAGGCATGCAACTCATTGCATGTACCATTTGTGCTATTGACATTATTGATAGCTTAAATTGTGGAGATTACTAAGGAAATGTGTTCTTTAAATTTTTTTGACGTTGACCGGTAAGCAACCATTTAAAATCCACCCAGAACACACTGGAGAATTAGAGGACACACTGTAGAACTGCCAGTCCCAGAAACAGAACCAGTCACACAGAAAGTATTTTTGTTTAAAAATGTGACAAAAAGAGTAGTGAAATGAAAAGATAAATGCAAGATATAGAGATGTAGCAAGACACGATCGCAATGGTCAAACACGTCCGTCTACTGCATGTTAACATAGAAAATAATGGAAAAACAGTGCAGTGGAGTGCAAAAACTCATTCTGTATGAATGCCCTGTATTATAAGGCTAGTTTACTTAACTCTGATTTGAGGAATCCTGTGGAGAAGCTCTCCAAAAATGTTGCAAGTTTAGATGCGTCTAAGCCAGGGCTATTCAATTGGCGGCCCACAGGCCCAATCCGGGACTATCATCTTCATCCGGCCCGAGGGAAGAATACACGCTGGTCGCACACATGCCTTGAATTGTTTTTGCACTAATTAGTTTGTCCACAAGGTGGCAACACTGACCTCTGGAGAGAATTATTATATGGACTTATGTAACTTGGAACTTTCTAGGATGACTTTGTTTTCGAAATATACACAGGTGTTGGTTTTCTAGCTTCTGTTTACAATAAGTGAGTGTTTGCTTGCATTAGCTGATTTATTTGTGTGATTTGCTTAGGCAACCTCGACAGGCATGAAGAGTTGGAGAAACTGGTGGCGTCATTCCTGGGAGTGGAGTCAGCTATGGCTTTCGGCATGGGGTTTGCAACCAACTCCATGAACATTCCTGCGTTAGCTGGCAAGGTTTTAAGCGCTAGACCATTTAGTTTCATCACTATCTCTCTCCTGCTTTGCCAGCTCCTCTGTCCCCATCTCTTGCTGTGATGATCCACCCAGGCAACTCCTAAAATCCATAGGAGTGTCAGTTCAGGCGGATCCCGCCTTGACCTGTCAGTGCTTGTTTAAATGATACATAAGTTTCTGGTGTGTGAATGTTTTCCTTTGTTGGTTTAAGCACACTGGGTGGATATGCCACATTTTAATCACCAGTGCAGAGGGAGGAGATTAATGTAATGGTATTGATAGACCACCGGTTCCAACTCAAACCGTTTGTGTGGCTCACACAATGGAATGCACTTGATAAGGCACAAAATCACCACAGGAAACATGCGTTTAGCTGCAAGTGCACCACAGAGATTTCCCAACCTCACTTCCTGTTGCAGGCCAAGAGAAGGTCTAGTGATTTAGCACTAAAACGCCTGACTTTCCAGATTTACGTGGTCGAAACTGACTTTGGAGGATGCATATTATTGCGTCAAGTCAAGTCAAGCATTATAACAACAGAGGCAAAAGCAGCAAAAAAGCTCATCATTTCAAAGGCTAATTAACCCCTTACCAACGATATGTATTTTGTCAAGATTCTAAAAAGTTTTGATTGTAAAATACCGTAATGCATTTTGTAATATGACACTTAACACCGCCCACTTAGGGGGAGGAGACCACCAAAAGATTTTAAAGTACCATTTCCATGGTAACACATTGTCCGATTTCAAAATGGTTTTCACAGGATGAATTTTGAGTTTAAGCTTTCAAATGATATCTAATTTAGGGTGATTACTAAATATTTGATAGGGTAAAAAGTCAATAAATTATGTAATGGCTGTGGGCCGGTGACACTTAAGAGGAAAAAAAAAATTTAATAATTTTTAACATACACTACCATTCAAATAAGGTAGTCAGTAAGGAAGTACTTTCATTCAGCAAGGATGCATTAAATTTTCTATTTCAATTTCAAATAAATCCTGTTCTTTTTAACTTTGTTAATGAAAAACGGTTTCCACAAAAAGCTTATGCATCACAACTGTTTTAAATTGTGACACTAATAAGAAATGTTACTTGAGCACCAAATCAGCATATTAGAATGATTTCTGTAAAATCATGTGACACTAGAGTAATGATGCTGAAAATCCAGCTTTGCCATCGCAGGAATAAATTACATTTTAATTACATATTAAAACAATTTTAATATTTAAAATTTTAAATATTTTAAAATTAATTTTTGATCAAATAAATGCATTTTCTTACAGTGACCTGAAACAGTTTTTCCTGTTTGTAGGGATGTCTGATTCTAAGTGACGAGTTGAACCATGCCTCTCTGGTACTGGGAGCCCGGCTGTCCGGCTCCACCATCCGGGTTTTTAAACACAATAGTGAGTTTGCACTGACAGGCACATCTCTTATCTTATCATCACCATATCTATATGCTCTCAGTCCTTGTTCACAGCTGTTAACAGCACAAGGTAAGAATGAACTTTTGGTGCAGCTCCAGTGCACACAAAGCATGACCCATGACGCTGCAACTGCTCGAGTGGAAGCTTGACAGACCTTGACCCATGTTAAAATCTTGATGTTGAGGTCCTGAAGTTAACTTTTTTTTTTGTAGTCTGGGTTGTTTTTAGGCTTGTTTCTGAATGCCATTTTGGTTAATGTCCAGTCAAACACTATGAATTAGGGGTGGAAAGGTTCGTGGAAAAAAAATATCGAACCGTATGGTTCTCCACACACGGTTCGGCACGCGCCTGGCACGGTTAGGCACGCGCTAAGTCAACTTGAATCGGACAACGCATCTGTAATATGGTTTGCTATAAATAACACGTAAAACAAACAGGGTTCGGCTAATATATGTTTCTGTTGATGGATGCGCATTCTGGCTTCCCAATACATTACAACAACAGCGATGGAAAAAAAAGCGTGGACAAACCATTCACTCTTGTTCAATGCGAATGCCTTATGCTGGAATATGAGCATTTATTCCGTCATCACCCGGGTGCTGATAGCGCGCGCGCACAGGTGAGACCTGAACAGCACACCTTGATATCTGTGTTTTAAGCTAAACTCGTTTAAGATTTGCCAGTTTAAGAGCCAGCGGACGCGAATATTAAGCTTTCTCTGAAGTATTGTGTTTAAATGGACAAATTCACACAAAAATTATGTCAAAATGCCCGTCTTGGTAAGTATCCTATAGCAGACATAGCCGGCTGAACGTACTGTATCAGTGCACTGGATCAGTGCATTCTCTTAAAGTGACAGCACTTTCTTAATATTAATCAAACAGCTATGTTTCTGTTGATGGATGTGCATTCTGGCTTCCCAATACATTACAACAACAGCGATGAAAAACAACAGCGATGGAAAAAAAAGCGTGGACAAACCATTCACTCTTGTTCAATGCGAATGCCTTATGCTGGAATATGAGCATTTATTCCGTCATCACCCGGGTGCTGATAGCGCGCGCGCACAGGTGAGACCTGAACAGCACACCTTGATATCTGTGTTTTAAGCTAAACTCGTTTAAGATTTGCCAGTTTAAGAGCCAGCGGACGCGAATATTAAGCTTTCTCTGAAGTATTGTGTTTAAATGGACAAATTCACACAAAAATTATGTCAAAATGCCCGTCTTGGTAAGTATCCTATAGCAGACATAGCCGGCTGAACGTACTGTATCAGTGCACTGGATCAGTGCATTCTCTTAAAGTGACAGCACTTTCTTAATATTAATCAAACAGCAACAACAAAGAAATCACTCACTGCTCTTGATTGAATAGCTTTTGTAACTTTAATAAAGATTAATCTTTAATTCATACAGTCAAATATGCAATGCTGTTTTACATTTCATTACTTTATTCAATGTCTGTACCGGAAAACTAATGTTAGACCTACCTAAAAAAAACTGAAATCACTGTTTATTTTATTTGTATCTCAGAATCAGAATCAGAATGAGCTTTATTGCCAGGTATGTTTACACATATGAGGAATTTGTTTTCGTGACAGAAGCTTCCACAGTGTAACAGAATGACAGTGACAGAACAAAAAAACACAGATAATAAAAAATATAAATAAATAAAAAATAGACCAAGTAAAATAAAGAATAAAAAATACACAAATCGACAATTGTATGTACAATTGAATACAAATCTTTACTCTATTGTATTTATTTGTGCTGTTGCTTGTAGTTAGATAGATTATTCTTATTTTCTTTATTTTTATTTGACAGTATAGTTTTTGCCTAATCATAGCACATACCGAACCATTCCGAAACCGTGGCTCTAAAACCGTGATACTAACCGAACCATGAGTAAGTTCCACCCCTACTATGAATACAAATTTTATCACTGGAAAGGTCAGCTCTCCATCGTATTTCAGCTGTGTTATTCTAAATGAATCATTTAAATTGGCAATTTGGACAGATGACTGTCAGTGATTAATAAATGTGCTTTTAAATTGATAAAGTAACTTGAGGTGAATAGGTAATGGTCCTTGAAACCCTTTGAGTCAGATTGTAGAGGCTTGGGGAAACTTTAGCAGCACTCTGATTACTTATTACTGAAGTGCTTGAAGCAGTTCTTGCACTGATATTTTGTAATGAATTTATGTGCTGTCGTTCCTTAAATTATGACCAAGGACACAGGCAACATTTTACTACACTATGACCCCAGAATACCACATAGTTTTCATATAGCCACTTTATCAGTAGCTTATGTCACCAATGTCATGCCATTTAAACTTTTTTTAAATTTTTTTTATGAAGACAAGCCTTATATAAATTTAAAGAAGTCTTTGGGTCAAATGTAGTTATTTTACTCTGGGTTAAACATGGGTTAAACATTTTATTTGCTTAAATGCAGATATGCAGAGCCTGGAGAGGTTGCTCAGAGACGCTATCGTTCATGGCCAGCCTAGAACACATCGACCCTGGAAGAAAATCCTCATTCTTGTGGAGGGCATCTACAGGTGATTGAACTCTCTCACTTTCTGGGATTCCTCTCATTATTGCAAATGTGCATCTGTATTGCTGTGGCTTTCTCAGGTGTGAAACATGTTATTACATGTACATTGCTGCACTTTTGACAGTTTAACTATCAAATTAATTGCCAAAGTTTAATGTACTCGAACCTGTTCTTTACTCAGTATGGAGGGCTCCATCATACGACTGCCAGAAGTTATAGCCCTGAAAAAGAAGTACAAGGCCTACCTTTACCTGGACGAGGCACACAGTATCGGGGCATTAGGACCCTACGGTCGAGGGGTGGTGGAGTATTTTGGACTGGACTCCAAAGATGTAGACGTCATGATGGGCACCTTCACAAAGAGCTTCGGTGCTGCTGGTGGATACATAGCAGGGAGGAAGGTATGAAGTTCAAGTGCCAATTTGTAATTGCAATACATTTTTACCAATAGCAGAAGTCCTTATATACTTACGTTATGTTTTTATATAAAAAAGGTTGTGAAAAGTGAAAGAGGTTTAGCAAATATACCAGGGATCCTCAAATCTGGCCCCCGAGATCCACTTTCCTGCAGAGTTTAGCTCTAATCCTAATCAAACACACCTGAGCATGCTAATCAATGCCTTCGGGATTATTAGAAAATCACAGGTAGGTGAGTTTGATCAGGGTTAGAGCTAAACTCTGCAGTGCATTGGCCCCCCAGGGCAAGATTTGAGGAACCCTGAAATATACACTACCATTCAAAAGTGTGGAATCAGTAAGATTTTTGTTATGATCACCAAGGCTGTATTTATTAAAAATAAATGGTAATATTATTGTTAAATATTATAATGTTATTATTATTTTTTTAATCTGATAACAATTTAAAATAACTGTTTTCTATTTATTATATTTTTATATAAATTTTATATAATTATAATTTATTCCTGATGTCAAAGCTGAATTTTCAGAAGCCATTACTCTTAAAAGTCTTAAATCACAGGATCTCTCCGAAATCATTTGAATTTGCAAAAATGTTTTGCCAATAGTGTCATTGTTGAAAACAGTTGTGCTGCTTAATTTTTTTGTGACGTATATGTGATATAGATAGATAGATAGATATATGATATATATTTTTTTCAGGATTCTTGATTAATAGAGAAAGAACATTATTTATTTGAAATCTTTACTGTCATTTTTGATCAATTTAATGCATCCTTGGTGAATAGAAGTACACATTTTTTAAGTTAAAAAAAAAAACCTAAAAGTACTAAGTTTTGAACGATAGTGTATTATTTTCTTAGTCATTAGTAAAACTCAGTTGTTTAACTGATGTACAAAGCCTACAAGATACTTAGTCATAATGAAACGTCTTGCTTTTTATGCTTTAGGATTTGATAGACTACCTGCTTACTCATTCTCACAGTGCAATTTACGCCACCTCTATGCCGCTTCCTGTCGTGGAGCAAATCATCACTTCTATGAAGTGCATTATGGGGAAGGATGGAACGACAATAGGTTAGTTTTACTTTATTTTACCTACTTAATTTTTCTTGGCTTTGATTTCCCTTTTTTTTTTTTTTTTCATTTATGCCTGATATAATCTGAGGCACCCAAAATATATTCTTAGCATTTACTTTCTCTCATCCTGTTCCAAAACCATATTATTTTATTTCATCCATGGAACACAAAAGAAGAAACGCTGAATAATATAGTGGCTGTTTTTTCCTAATGAATGTGGACTGAAGCTTTTAAGCTTTGAAAAGGACAAAAAACACCATAAAAGTTTTCCATAAGACTTGTGTTCAAGTCTCATGAAGCCATACAATAGCTTTGTGTGAGGAAGAGATTAATTATACAGGCATACAGGTTTGGAATGACATGAGAGTGAGTAAAAAAAAAAAAGACCATTTTCATTGTCAGGCAAATAAATGTCAATTGTGTGTTGTTCAGTGCTCCACAAGGTGGCAGGATTGACCCAAAAATAGATAATCAGCTTGCAAGGATGTACCATGGATGGTCTTCAGCATTTTGAAGCTTAATTAAAGCTTAAAAGAACATTACATTTGTACACTTATTTACCTGCCAGATGTTTTTGTTTTTTTTCTTTTTTACCAAAGTGCCGTGCTAGAACTTGCATATTACAGCAGATAATTCAGGTGGCATAGATACAGATCAAGATGCCAAACATTTCAAACAAGAATGTTGTGTCACGAAGTCACTACAGGCCAAGAGTCGTCCATTCTGTTTTCACAAGATGAAGGTGTTAGGCTTAGCAAAATCAGGCCAGCCTTCAATCACCAATGTGTTTTTTTTGTTTTTTTTGCGTCTGGCAATCAGTCGTACAGTAAACAGTCACGTCTTCCTCCACATGTATTTCCTGTTCTCATCTGCACATCATTCACTGAAAAGCGTGCCTTTACTTTGTTAGCTCTATTGTGCTTGTCTTTGCTTTATTGGCTGTTTTATTTCACTGCGCAAATACAATCTTTATGTTTGTTTGCTCTGTGCGCTCTGGATAAACTTGGCCCAGAAATTGAAATAAGTGTTTCTCAAGGATCACTTTGAAGTGAGACGAGGGGGGAAAAAAAAAGATCTGTCGATGTGAGATTTTTCTTCATACAATTTCCCAGCGCTCATGAAATGAGACTGATTAGTTCAACAGCTGTACACAGACTCCGTCCAGGTAAAATATTTAGCTCAAAGTTTAAACCTCAGAAATGTGTTAACAATTACCCATGTAACTAGTGTGATCTGGCCCTTTGGTTAGACCCACCAAACTGCCTGTTTTCCCCCCTGCCACTCAATCAACGCTGGCAGCTACAACAAACAGGCTCTACCGGTCTGTCGGGTCCAGGTGTAGTGCTCAATATGACTAATATGAGTATTACTTTGCTTGGCTAAGGGCTATTTTCATCTCCTTACAAAGACGTATTGTTTCCATCATCTTTAAAGATGTCTCCTGAGAACATCTTGCTGTCTCCCAGTGAATTTTCTCTTCTCCTTCACCTGCTAATGGACTTGCTAATGACTTTCACCAGCATCCCACATTGGTGCAAAAAAGCTCTAAACTCTTGACCTATGACATGGTTGAGCTTTCATCCGGCAGTAATAAAGTGCTTTTTTTATGTAATTATTTCTATTTTCAAGAACAAATGCAATTAATTATACGGAGACAATGTTTTTTAGTATTTCAGTCTCTCCCCAACCAACTGAGAACAGACTAGAAAATAATAATTCAAATGTTACAATCAATAAAAATGTTAAATAAAAACAAGAACATATAAATATAATATTAATTATATATTAATATATATATATATATATATATA